AAAAAAAAAAAAAAAAAAAAAAAAAAAAAAAAACCCAAAGAATGATGCCTGGTAAACAGTAAGTGCTATGTGTTATTATTATTGTATATACAGTACTCCTGTGTGTATGTGTATATATATATAAACCATCCTACACCGGGCACTATACTTGGTGCTAGGAATGAACTGATGCACACACCTTAAATAGTTCCTAATCTCTTGTACTGGAGTTTTTGGAAGAATTGCTGACTGCATCACATAACAACATTTTCTCATTTACCCTTAAATGATAGCCTGAAATATGGGCACTTTTTGATTTCCCACCCTATGGCACTTGGAATAGTATAGAAGCCTGCCCCACCTTTCTCCACCCCACCTGTAGTGTCTGGGAGTCTCAGGCAGAGCTGGAGGGTCAGACTTACTGCAGTCACCTGTCAAATGAAGAAGAGAAGCAGACAAGCCTTTTTCATTTGAAGCCCAGAACCTCCCTGCACCTCCACCCCTCTCCATTCTAGCTCCTGGGAATATGACTGTGCCATCAGATGGGCACATAAAAGTGTGTGAGTTGTGGCAGGATTCATGAAGAGGGGTTTGCATGGGGACAATATCCAGTTAAAGATTCTGCATATAGTGAGCAGTTTGTAGATTTTGAGTTTTCCTCCTTTTTTGTATTTTATTTCACAACTTTTCAAATCCATAAAAAATTGGAGGAACATTCACAATTTTCAGTAGATATTGATTTATGCTTCTGGCATTTCTTTATGCAGAAATGAGCATATGTATGTGTGTGTGTGTTTCCCTTTCTTTCTTACAAAAAAAGTAGTGCAGGAATTCCTCTCCATATAGGTGTTGCCCCACAGGCAATGTAGTAGAGTTCCTGTTGCCACCTCACCAGTGGAGAGCATTGTCAAGCTTTTGAATGGTTGCCAATCTGATAGATGAAAAATGGCATTTTAATGCAGCTTTATTATGTATATCTTTCATTATGAGTGAGGTTGAGCCTCTTTTCATATTTTTAAAAGTCATTTGTATTTATTTCTGAAAACCACCTGTCATACCTTTTCCCTTTTTTTCTATCAAGTTATAAAGATCTCTTGTAAATTAGGGAGATCAATACTTTATCTGAGATATTGTCAATATTTTCTCCCTGTTTGTCTCTTATATTTTGATTTGGTTGATGGTGTGTTTTTGTTTTTTGGTTTGGCCATGCAGACTTTTAAAAAATATGTATAGTTGAATATATCAATATTTGCTTTTATAAGCTTCCAGAAATTGAGCCATGGATAGGCTTTCCCATGCCCAAATTATAATGGAATTCACCCAGATTTTCCTCTAGTACTTTTATGGTTTCATTATTTTCTGTTTATGTCCCTGACCTAGTTTGTGTTTGTTAGGCTGTATGGTATAAAGTACAGCTCTAAAGATACTGTTTTAAATGACTATACAGTCGTTGGCAGCACTGTTTATTAAAAGACCATCTTACTCCCAGGGATGAGATCCCACCTTAGTGGTGGTGAAATGCCACCCTAATATTATGCTAAATTTCCATCTGTATTTGGGTTTATTTCTGGACTTCCTCTTCTGTTCTTTGGTTTCTCTATTCATGTACTAGCACCACACTGTTTTAATTATAAAGGCTTTATAATCTGTTTTAATAATAGGTAAGCTAGCAGCTCTGTATTGTTCATCCTTCATTAGAGTTTCCTAGCCATTTTTGTGAATTTTAAAAATCTATGAACTAAAGAATCCATTTGTTTAGCTTGAAACAAATTCGTTCACATTTTCGAGGAGACTGTATTTAGTTTATATTTTAATTTGGGAAATTTGGCATCTTCATGATACTAACATGTCCTATTCTAGAGCAAGGGATGCTTTTTTATATGTTCTAGTCTACATTTGTATTTTTTAGCAGCATTTTCAAGTTTTTCTCATTTTGTGGGGTACTTTTTAGAAGTATTTTATTTTGGTGTTGTTGCTATTGTAAATGGTTTTGTTTGTTTCCCATGATATCTTCTGATTGGTTATTGTAGATGTATGTGAAGGCTATTGATTTTGTATGTTAATTTTATATCTTGCTCACCTGGTGAATTCCTTTATCATTTGGGTAGGTTCAATCAGTGGTACTTGGGTTTTCCAGGTATACAATCATATCCTATGCAAATAAAGATACTTTCAGGTTTTCTTTTCCAGTTCTTGGGTCTCTAATTGTTTCTGCTTTTTGATTGCATTGACTAGTACCTTCAACATCATGTTGAGAGTGGTAGATACAGCCGGCATCCCTGCCTTGTTCCTGTCCTTAGTAGAAATGTCTGTAGTGTTTCTACATTTCAAAAGTTGCTACCTTTAGAATTGAGGCATAAATATTTTATATATTTTATTTCTAATCATACATTTCATCATTTAACGCCTTGGGTTTTTCTTTTATTTAGCTTCCAGAAAAGCGTCCCACATTTCAGCAACTCCTATCTTCCATTGAACCACTTCGGGAAAAAGACAAGCCTTGAAGAAGAAATTAGGAGTGCCAATGAGAATGAATATAAATGTTGGCCAACATTTTCAGTCCTTTTATGGAAAGTAGCAAGGCACAGTGTAATTTAGCTAGTTTTCAGTAGTGTTCTGTGTGTTCTCTGTTACATCATCTAGAAATAAACAAGGTAGGAAACAAAAAATTTCCTTGAAATTTAGGTCATATTTGTAATTTTGTTTATGCTGCTCTGAATATAACACTTCCCAGCCTATAGCAGAAGCACATTTTCAGATTTCAGTATTAGGGATGGTGTGTATCATGTGTAAAGAATGAACAGAACTGAAAAATTATTTGTTGGATGTTCTTTATATTGCCACCATCATGATAATTAAATATACTATCAAGTACAGAGATGTGGACATTTGCCTTCATATGTCAATGTTCTCAAATTTTAGCATGCATGAGAATCAAATGGAGAGTTTATTAAAACACAGATTCCTGGGAACTGCCCCAGAAATTCTGATAGAGCAGGTCTGAGTGCAGCCTATGAATGTGTATTTCTAACAGGCTCCCAGATGTTACTGATGCATTCAGTCAGAACTGCCCTAGGGGACCTCGTTATGTGGTGGCGCATCATTTGGTGGCCTCTAATTCAATCCAGATGGTACAATTCTCCTCTGATATCCAGATTGGAACAATGACTCTTTATGTCATCATGTGTACAAATATAAAACGAAAGTTAAATAATATTATTAAATAATATATTAAATATGTTTCACATAGAACAAATTCTAAAAGATGCTAAGGTACAATTTGATGCCTTTTCCCTTAACCTTAGCCATTATCAATCTTAAATTACATGAGTGTGCCCGTGGTCTTATTTCTAGACTTGATTTCATTGTTGCTTTGAATCATTTTAAATCCTTGAGTTTGGATCTCTCACACTACTGACTAGTTTGATAACTGAAGTTTCTATTTCGGTCTTCTATCTTAACATGAAGACACAGAAGTACTATTTTAGCTGCTCATGGCTATTACTAAAAGGTATTTTAGCTTTAAAACTATTCCTGGGAATGCCCTCCTTCACTGCCTGCTGCTGAACCCACCAGTTTTAATCTCTGTTGGAGTATTTTAATATCTTTTCTATAATATCGAAAAGGGAGAAAGGTTATGTGGAGGGCACTATTACAATGAAAGGACACCCCCAATTAAACCCTGCTGCTGTTTTCCAGAATACATTAATAATCTCCCTTAGGAGACATTCATATCCTTTCTCACCGCACTCCCTCACCCGCCAGCTAGTTCGAATGTTCCTCTTATTTGTTTCTTGACATGTAATGAACAATTCCTTTATTTCAGCAGAGAATTGACACTTGGTAATAGTCTCCTATTTTTTACAGAGGTAGGCAAATCTCAATTTATAATAAAATGTAACTTAAAATAATCCTAGGTCATTTATACATTCATTTATTTATTTGCTTATTTGTTTATTTATTGTATGTTGGGTTCTTTCCTACCCAAGGGAAAAGAAGGAACCAGTGACACAACCCCTCCTTCTCAATGGGCCCACAGTCAGGTGGGGGCGCCAGCTTTTCCTGCTCTCCGATTTCATCCATCAGGGATTTGTATCACAGACTGTTAACTCCTTCAGAGAATGATCTCGTGCACAAGCTGGGTCTTTCTGGTCTCCCTCTTGCAGATTGTTTTCTCCCTTTCTTCTCATTTTTGTATCCTTAATCTTTTAAAAATAATTCTTCTTATAACAAATAATACATTCTTGTTGCAAAAAATTCAAACATTACACAATTGTTTACTATGAAAAGAGGCCAAAGCCTTGCTCAGAAGCGAGGCTCCAAAAATCAAGTCAAGCAAGAATGTCAGGTCAGGTGACACTCCAGGTTTATCAGAATCAGGAGAAGCCAAGTAAAGGAACAATACTGATACTATTTAAAAGATGCATAATGATGTTTTAAATGCTGTTTAACTGTGTTTATTGGTGATATTTTAAACAAGGAGTCTTCCTACACTCTCTTGGGAATGAAGAAAAAGGAAGACAACGTGGTAACAAACTTTACCAAAGGGCAAGTCTCTGAGCAAGTTTGGATAAAGTACTTACTAGGTAAAATCCAGCAGAGTCTTCCCAGTCTTGCTGAGCTTTTGCTCACCTGCCAAAAGTCAAACACAAAGTCAAGAGCATCTGGCAAATTTTGCATCATATCAACTTGAGTTAATTAAGAGAAAGATTCCAGCATAGTAGACTTAGAAAGTTGAGGTTCTCAATTTTGATTCTAACTTGGAAGTGGGTTTATGAGGAAGAGAGATTGGACTTACTCCCCCACCTTTACCTAAATGGGAAGGAGGGTTTATCTCAGATGAGGGAGAGTAATTCATTGAGAGACAGAAGGGAAGAAGAAGGTAGCACCTGCCTTTCTGATGGATTACATCTCCTATCAACCCAATCCCTGACCCCAAAAGAAACAGTTAAATTCCCCGGATGGAAACACTTAGTGAATGGGTTCAGATTTCACGAATGAATGTTCCTCGAGTCTCTGAGCTCCACAGTGGCCCTTACATACTTGTAATTTTATTTAATCCTTGTTTCCTTATAGCCCAGGGATCTGCAAAGTTCGTCTATAAAGGGCTTTGTCAGCCATACCATCTCTACATTAACTACTCAATTCTGCTTTGTAGTGTCAAAGCAGACCAAGACCTTATAAAAATGAATGGGTTGACTGGGTTCCAATAAAACTTTATTTATAGACACTGAAATTTGAATTTCATATCATTTGCATGTGTTATAAAATATTATTGTACTTTTTCCCAAACCATTTAAAAATGTAGAAGTCATTCTTAGTTCATAGGCAATATAAAAACAGGTGATGGGCAGGATTTGTCCCTTTGGCAATAGCTTGCCAACTCCCATCCTAGGCCCAGGTACTGGATGCCCCCTTTGTAGAGTCTCCATCCTGTCAGAGAAGGATCACAAGCTTCACCTGGTGGGCAGAGTGAGGACTGTGCTGGTAAAAACCCCAAAATTAAGTTATGGAAATGAGCAGATTTTCCTAATTTTTGTGTTACAGCTGGAGATTGTGTTACATGCCCATCGGTCCATGGCTGGGGAGGCTCTTTTGAAGGTGTTTGTTGATGAAATTGGTTCCCATAGAGAGTATTCTTGCACTGTGTTGAATTAAGACAAGGATTGGGAACTTCATATAGAGAATGTGGCTATTACAAGGGACGTTTAGATAACAGTAGCTTGGCAGATTATCATGATTTATTGAAGATGGGACATACACAAAATAAAAGACAAAGGTGTCAATGAAATGGGTGTGTGGCCAAAGAGGAAATGCAGTCGTATGTTGCCTCAAGCTGTGGGCCCAGTGAAAGGCACGATGGTGATGCAGATGGTGATGAGGAGGCTTGAACGGAGTGGCATGGATCTCATGAAAAGACAAAGAACTCTATCTTTGCTACTTGAATATCAGGTAATTAAAAGACATTGAAGAGCCTCAAATGATCCAGCCTGATTTAGTTGTCTTGAGGCTATTTTATAGGGGGCTGTGAAAGTCATCTTCCCCTGACTTGGCTAATTGATCCACCATTACCATTATCATATAGAATTTATTAGTATGTCAATCTAAAATTATGCTGGTCACCACATAGAGTGAGTTAACGAGTAGAGTTTAGGTATGTTAACCTATTTAATCTAGTTTTAATCAATCTTAGGTATGTAGCAGATGTTGTGGTCAGAACTGGCATAGAGACTCTGAGAAATACAAAAGAAGTATGGCTTTGGTTCCTAACATGATGGTACATACAATCTTAACACAACTCTTTTGGGACTGATTTTACAATTTCTTGGTACAATAAAGCAATATGAGAATTTGGGATACTAGTATATCTGAAGGTGTTTGAGAGCTCAAGGGTCCCAGACAGTCAGACAACAACTTTGTCCATTGAAGTGAAAAACAGACAGAAAGGACAGAAGCCCTAGCACATAAGACCACAGGAGTATGTAAATCCAGGAAGTATTTATTGAGTGTCTGCTTTGTGCTCAGCACTACTCAGACACTGTGGGCAAATAAAAAAGATTTAAGAGATAGGGTACCCACTTCAGAGGGTGAACATTCATTTGGAACTTCCACTCACTCCACAGTTAGAGAACATGGAAGCGGGTTTCTAGCAGGCATCCTCTGGGGGTATATGGAGATTCCTGATGCAAGTTTTGTAATGTCCTGGAGATGTTGATCAAGCAGCTCAAAAGTGAAAAGGCAATGTCCTCTACCTGCTCTCTGGATTCTTCCCTCTTCTTTAGACCTGTCGCCCTGAAGAAAGCATGGTCCGTTCCAAACATATCACTGCGAGTGAATCACTATAGCACTCGGATTAAGTTAATGTGAAGAAAGCATCTCATTCTTTACACTTGGATTAAATTAAAGTGAACAGTGTGTGCCATTCTCAATCCCTGCAGTCCCACCAGTTCACAGGCACCGTCCACACATCCACCCTCCAAGATTCCTCGTATGGAGTCTGCTCCACCCAGATTCCATACGAGGCCCAACACGTGTTCCCATGCTATATCCTTTTTTTTTCAACTCTAGTAACTCAACAGACATTTCCATTTCCATTATCCCTGAACAGACGACAAGGCTAAAGACACACTTTCCCTATTATTTTTTAATATAAACATCCCAATTAGATAACAGAAGAGAAGTCAAATCCTGAGGCAGAAATAAATACTGAAAGCAATGTCAGCGAAGATGCCCTCTGCTCGACCAAGTTGTCTTTGGACAACTTTTTCTGAACAGTCATAGTTTTGATATTTAATGACATCTTTATAATCTCATATTTTCTGTACCATAGAATTAACATTTATGTACAATAAAATCACCTCAGGAGGAAAAAGATAGATTTTTCTAAAATGAAGTCTGAACATCATCACTGTTCTGGAAACCTGGATTATTTTCTCCTTCACTAACGTTCGTGGAGGCATAAGGATTTTCTTCATTTCTTGCTTGTTTATTCCTGTTAAATAAAACAAAGTCGTCTTAATATAGTGATGTTAGAAGGACACTTTTCACCAACCAGAATGATGAGGATCAAAAAGTTTGATGGCATCCTGTGTTTAAGAGGCTGGAGTGAGGAGAACAGAAAGTTTCGTAAGTTGTTGATATGAGTGTAAATTGGTATAGCCTCTATTGAGGGCTACATTTATCAAAATTAGAAACGTGCAGATACTTTGACCCAACTTTCCCACTGCTAGGATTTCTCATACAGATACATTGGCACACACAGAAAAATATCTATATTAAGCCACTGTAACTTTTTGATAAACACAAACATTTGGAAACAACATAAAAGTCCACCAATAGAGGGCTGGTTAACAAAATTAATTATGAGCCACACATAAAATAGGAAACTATGTTGCCAGGAAAAAAAAGAAAGAAGCTCTTTGTGTAATTAATATGGAAAGATCCCTAAAATATATTATGTGGGAAATAAGAGAATATGCAGAAGATCATGTATAGTCTGCTAACATTTGTGTACTAAAAAAGGACATACAGCTACTTATCTCCAAGAAAGCGATCATTTTGGTTGGCTTTAGGAAGGGAACTTAGAGGCAAAGGGTGACAGGGAGGCTCTTTATGTATCCTTTTGTATTTTTTAAAAATTTTAACCATGAATGCATTACCTATTTAATGCCTAATGTTTTAAATCAATATATTTTAGGTAATTAAATTCTCTGTAATGAAGAAAATTGAGCAAAATAGACTAGCACATGTAGAGATTCAATCAAGAATATGTTTAAACACCCTGAAGTGTGCATTGAGTTTTGTTAGGTGCTATAAAATATTATTAAACTTCATTTCATAAGCCCAATGAAAGCCAATTATTTCTCAGGATCAGAAAAAAAAAATCTAGTGGCAAAGCAAGACTAGAAATCAGGTCTCTAGTGATTTAAATACTCAATGAATTTTTGGTCTTCAACTCAAGAACGAATTAAAGGTGCCTGACCATAAACTAAGGGGATGACACGGAGTCTGAGCTACCCGAGGAGGGATGAAGGTGTAGCAGTTTGAAGGAAATCTCAGAGCTCATTCTTGAATAATTTCACACTTCAAACCCATCATCAATCCAGTCTCTAGGGTCACTTCTAGGCTAAGGAGGTTTCAGCAGTGAGGACAATCAGCTGTGCTTGAGTTTGCTGTGCCACTTTGCAGTAGAGAAATGATCCTGTGGCTGGGATGGAGTTTACTAGGACATGTTAATAAACCCCAGGCTGAATACGCACTGTGTGGGCTTGCTAGGAGGGTAAAGTGCTGGTGACAACTGGTAGATTTCTATGGGACATATCAGAACATTCAGGTACAAGATTGTCCAACTAAGTAACTGGCCTATACAACCTACTACATACTGTGAATGTTCCTGTTAGTGTTCCCTACACCTTTTTGTTTTAGAATAGTTAAGTCTAGGAAGGTCACTTACTTCCTTCGATCTCTGATCCCAGTGAAGATCAGGAAGACAATGCCAACCACTACCAGTCCCATCACTACTCCAAAAACAATCAGCCATGTGGTGACAGGCGGCTGGTAAGCAGGTCCAAGTGTTGGCTGAATCCCCAGAAACTCCAGGGTGTTGTCATCCAGGCGGAAAGCATCATTGATACGGCTCCGGGACATCCTGTTTGCAAAAGCAAAACACAGCAAAAGGGACACTCAGGCAAAATAAAATTGTGCATAGTTATTTACTCCGTATATCATTGTTCCCTAAAGGATTTGATAAGGCTTACTATAAGAATGTACACCTAAAATCACAAAGAAGTCAAAGTAGATAGTCAGGTTCAATGAAACATATGAGTTTTCAGCAATTGTGTACCTTTCATATCTTGTGATCTAGATTAGGTTTGTCAGCAGCTTCATCAGAAAATTGAGTTGCAAGTGTTAACATATACATTTGTGCATTTGTGACTATTGTGTTTTAAAGGCAGAATTAGCATATTTGGCAAGAATTTCCCTTCTGTCAGAGCATATCTACAATGACTTTATATCAAATAATGGAAAAGGATAATTGGATACACCTCTTCTGCAAATGAATCAGTCCCTATCCCCAAGTCTCTATAGTACTATCTTCCAAATAAAAGGTCTTGCATTTTGGAGGCAGCATTGGGGAGGAACACAGAAAAGGGGCCTTTTTCTCTAGCACTGGGATGAGAAATAGCTGAATTTTATGGAAGCAAAGGGATGAAGATTATTTTTTTAAAAAACCCAGAAAAATGGAGAATATTCTGGATTGAAGAACAAAGTACTGTCTGGCACCTGATCCTCTTACCCTTGGGTAAAGTCCAGGTCAGGAGATCAGAGTTCACCACAGAGGGAGAGAGGTCAAAGCAGAATTAGCCGTGTAACACTTGGCAATCTCAACCTGAAAATATCTCAAGTCATTCTGGAAACACAAAGTTTGAGCATCCCTGTAGCTTGCAGCTAGGGATCTGAGAAGGCTGGGCTCTTTCGTGAAGATCTCAGCCAGCACTTTTTTCTAAGATAGACGCAGGTCTTTGGGAGGCAGTGAGTGAGAGTATCTGGGCATTGCATGCACCTCAACCAAGCCAGATTTTCTAGGCACATCTTGCCCAGCAGTTCTTAGAAGTGATTCAAAAGGTGAAAGGGATTCTCTGATGCAGCTCAAGATGGCCACCTAGTGAGCTTCCTACTAGCATTGGCATATTAAGCTTTTTTTCCCATCCAAGTACTAACCAGGCCCGACCCTGCTTAGCTTCTGAGATCAGACGAGATTGGGCGTGTTCAGGGTGGTATGGACGTAGACAATATTAAGCTTTTTTTCAATGACAAAGGGAAACATCCACAAGGTCTATCCATTCTTCACTCCTGCTGCCTGTTGTGGGAAACAGTTGAGGCAAATTGGACAAACTATTTCTTCTAAACGCTCACTGCCCATAGCAACCCCCTCTCCTAGCGTAGAGGCCAACCAATGTCTAAGGAATGCTATGCCTACTTGTCTCAGGCTTTGGGCAGCTAAGTGAATCCTACACCAAAGTCCCTATAGCAAATGATGGCAATACCTGTCCATGACCCTTCTGCAATTACTATTTTCCATACATGCCAGCCAGACTTCCTTCAGCCAGCACCTTTGCCTGAGAGCATTCTTAGTCCCAAGATCTGCCCTGCCTGCAGGCCAGAAATGCCTGGGAATTACTGCCACCTGGAAGCAGTTCCCAACCAATGACTGCCTGGAGGTGGTAAATAAATAATCCAGCTCTCTCACTCCTCTGATGGGACAATTTAGGTGCACATTCTACATGGTCTCCCAGAGTTTTCCAGCAGAATTGAGCTCTAGTTGTCCACAGTGATAACTTGTTTGATAAATGTAATCTATTGCCTTCCTTCCCTTCTCTGTCTTCTGTCCACATTTCCCTATTAGCACTTCTTGGGATCACCTCCCAAATAAACTACTTACATTCAAACGCTTGTCTAAGGACCTGCACCTGGGAGAACCAAAGTCAAGATAATTCCCTTGCTATAGGATCCTTCTGGAATTAAAACCCAAGTTTGTAGGATGAGGTAAAACATGGAAATGACTTGGAACAATGCCTGGCACACAGGAAGAGCACACTAAATATTAGCTATTGTTGTTGTGGCATTGGTTAACCCCCTCACCCTTATACGGTTTGTTTGTAAGTAAAATGTCACCTGATGGCGTTTTCAACTTCAGTTCTAGGAATGATGTCAGACACGTTTTCGGGTGCAGTGACAAAGAAGTTGAACGAGATTCTTGGTTTCAAATCACTCACCCATACATCCCCCTCCCTGTGGAGAAACAAAAGAAACATCTTCCCTTGAGGCACAGAGGACACAGTAAAGAGAATGAGGACTTTTCCTTTCACTGCTGAGGCTGGGTGAGAACATTTGAAGAAGAGAAAGCAAGAGATCGAGAGCTGTTTAATAATGATGCCTATTCCAAAATAGCTAGACGAGAGGATTTTGAATGTTCTCACCACACAGATGTGTGTTTGAGATGATGACTATGCCAATTACCCTGATTTGACTATGACACAATGTATACATGTACCAAAATATCACCCTGTACCTCATAAATATGTACCCCCCCAAAATGCTCTTGCAATCTACATGTCAAATAAGCCACAATCATCCCTAAATGGAGTGGCCCACATTTCAGAATGCCAAAAAAGTTTACAAGTTATTAGGAGGTTTTTCTTTGTTTCACGTGAAGAAAAGTTTAAGCAGAATATCTCCTCAGACTCAAAAGTAAGGGAAGTGCTGGTTGGTGAACTTGAGAACCCAGCAAATCAACTCACCCAAAAGGAATCGTCTGGTTTTTGACTTTTGAAAAATACTCTCTCATGGCATATGCAACAGATGACCGGAACAAGTACATTTCATTGTCATTCCATTCGTACTGCAAATTCAGAAGAAAGACATTGCTCAGTAGTATCACAGGGCACATTTAAAATCTGACAGTCTTCAAGCATTATTATTAATGATCCAGATTCTTGCTGTTCATTGTCAGTGACCTCCAATGCGAGTGTGCATCAGCGTCACCTGGAGGGCTAGTTAAACACTGAGTGCTGGGCTCCATCCTCAGATTTTCTGATTCAGAAAGTCTGGGGTGAGACCCAAGACTTTGCATCTCTACCAAGCTCTCAGATGGTGCTAATACTGCCGGCCAGGAGACCACGCTTTAGGGACTATTGGGTTCGCTGGTCCTCTTACTTTGGTTGGATGTAAACTGAAATAAACACCCTGAAAACAGGTTTATAGGTGAGAGTCAAACAAAAGTTGTGAGTTTTGATTAAAATGTCTGTACATTGTAGACAAATAAACTGAGCTTTTACTATTTTTATAGTAAGTTCTCAGAAATGTATTATAAGTGTAAAAGAAAAAGAAATTTGAGGTTCAAAGAAAAAAATAACACCTTGCAAACAGCAAGGCAATCTATTTTTGTGTTTCAGTGTTAAACAAAAGGCTTATGTTTGCATTGCCTTTAAGGACTTGTTAAGAGAGAAAAGAAAAAAAAAAATTCACTCTTTCCTCCAGTAGCTGGCGGTAGAGATCAATGAATGGCACAGGCTTTGAGTTTCTAGTCTCCCTTTTAGGGAAAAAAAAAAATGATTTCTCAAAAGAATTACTATATGCACTTCAGCTTGGTTTCACCCAGGCTGAGGGGGTGGCTGGGTTGCTTTACTACTAATAATAATATTATTAATATTGTTACTAGTAATATTTTGATCATTATTTTCATATTTTTAAAAATTTTAAAGGCCGAGTTTTCAAAATAATCCCATATATTCAGTTGGCCTTCACTACAAAATAACTCAAACTGAGAACATATTCTGGCCCCAGTGTGTTGATGTATGGTTCTGGTATCATCAAAGCAGACTGTTGCACAGTGAATTGGCCTTAAATCTACACCATAGAACCCTCTGAAGACTATTTACCTCCCTCACTGCATGGAAAGAGAACATGAAGACAAATATCAAGAAAAAAAGATCCTGATCTGCTAGGACTAATTAAAATTTATTAGGCCAAGGAAGAGCTAATAAAAATATTAGAGAAAGAAAAATAATCCCACGGACACTCAATAATTAAGAAATAAGATAACCAAGGGAATGGAAATCATCATGTCGAAGGGATACCTGCACTCCCATGTTCATCGCAGCTCTATTTACAATAGCCAAGAGTTGGAAGCAACCTAAATGTCCATCGATGGATGATTAGATAAGGAAAATGTGGTATGTATACACAATGGAATACTACTGTGCCATAAAAATAAAAATGAAATTCTACCATTTGCAGCAACATGGATGAGCCCGGAGAAAACTATTCTAAGTGAAACAACTCAAGTACAGAGAGAGAAATACCACATACCCTCATTCATAAGTGGGAGCTAAAATAAATAAGAAAGAAAGAGGCATCACAATAATATGTTGACCTTTCAAAAGGAGAGAACAGAACTGTGGTTATTAGAGGTGGGAAAGGGAAATAGGGAGGAGGGTTAGCGAGAAATTGGTTAAGGGTCACCAAGAATGATTACGTTTTTATAAAGATGGGTATACTAATTATCCTGATTTGATGAGTGTACTAATTATCCACCACGTGTTGTACACAGGTATTGATATTCAACTCTGTACCCCACAAATATGTATAATCAATTATGTTTCAATTAAAAAAAGAAATTTCCATTTAGAAAAGACAGAAATGGGAACTTGAATTCTCAGAGTTTGGGAAGAAAGGCCACTTCCAGTTTTTATTTATTTCATAAATATTCATTCTTTTACTCCTAATATGTTATTATATCTTGATGTCTGACTTATCTATGAAAATTATACTAAAAGTATTGTTGAGTCTTGAACAGTATTTAACTTTTCAGGAAGAGTAAGGGGGTAGGAACACCATCTTTGGATCTAGCCAATGCAGACAACAATTTTCTGTAGCATCTTGGTCTGTTTTATCCAGTAGTTCCAGGTTGATTTTAAACATACAAAGCTGTCAGGGTGCCATGTTCCCACCCAGGCCTTTGATCCCCATCTATCTGAGACTACCCTGTCCTCTCCTCTTTTGCAATCAAAGCTACTACTTCTTCAGACTAGATTACCTGAGACAAGGGTTCAGGAGAGAGCAATAGTTGATTAAAATAATTCACATGAGGGGGTACGTAACATGATTTTCTGTAAAACATTTTGTGAACCCAAAATACATCTCTAGGTCAGTGGTTCTCAAATTTTTGCTGTAATTAGGACCACCTGGGGGAGCTCTTAAAACTCTTGACGCCCAACTCTTGTCTCCACTCCCCAGAGCAATTAAATCAGAATCTCTGGGGGTGGAATCCAGACATTAATATTTTTTAAACGTTCCATGTGACTCCAAGGTGCAGCCAAGTTTTAGAAGCATTGTTTTAATCAGAACCTCTCAGTCTTTACTGTGTATACAAATCAGTTGGAGGCTTGTTAAAATACAGGTTCTGATTAAGCAGGTCTAGGGATGCGCCCGAGTTTCTGCATTTTTAACAAGTTTTCAGGTGATTCAAATGCTGCTTGTCCATGGACCTCACTCTGAGTAAAGCCAGGATATATGTGCAAAACAAAGCAAAGAAAACTTAACCATACCGCTTCTAAAAATAAAACAACCTCTCGAACTATAACCATGTCCTCTTCCTGGAATACAAATAATGGTGATAAGAGTCGATTGGAAGGATGGGTATTTGATATTTAAGGATTGGTACAGATGTTTTCTCATTGATCTTCAAGGTAATAAGTAAAAAGTAGGCGTAGCCTATCAAATAAGGAATGAGTTAACTTATATGAAAGTTGATGAGATCACTTTCTGTCAGACCTAGACAAAATAGAGCCGGGAAAGGCACAAAGGAGGGGGTTCATGCTTGCTTGTCTGAGATGAGAAATGTTTCCAGAGACCTTCTAAAAACCCATCAGAAACACCTTCACATCTTTCACACCCTTATGCATCTCTTGCTTTGCACTACACAAGCGTTTCTGCGAGAAAGTTCATCATTAGACATTCCTTAGAGCTGCAGTAATTCAGATAAGATGTTCCAAGAAGAAACTGCCCAGTAATGGCATCTCAATCAATGAACTGACGACAAATCTGACTTTGAGCCTCCAAAACCAACTAACTCTGTTCTCAAGCAGTTTACATGAGCCTCTCCTATTTTTGCCAATAAACGCTTTCTCTTACCTTCCCTCACTGAATGTATTTGTGGCCTGAAATGATGGTATGCATTCCGTATTATAATCCTATTTCTATTCTTGAATAAACTCAACATATTTGGAGATATTTTTCTCTAATGTATTTCTTCTGGGTTAACACTTTTAAAAACCCAAAAGCTGAAGGCCAGAATCTGGGGCTTATAGTTTTGAAAAGAACCCTGTGACCTCTCCTCCTTTAGACCATATTGGAAAGGGCTTATTGTGTTCTATTTAAGTGAAGAGCGTACACTGAAAAACAATGAATACATCACACAGAATACTCACTGCGTTTTCTCCAAGAGCTGATTTTAGGCTTATCCTCACTTTGATGCTGTGGTCAGCATCTGATTAAAGAGAAGTTGCAGACTGCTCGTTACAGATGACAGATTGACCAGGTGTTTATTTCCTTCTCCCTCCCAAGATCCCATGAAAGTAAAGGAATTTTTAAAAAGGTATAATCACACTTTTGGAAAATTAGAAATAATGGGAGAAGAGTAACTGCCTTTTTAGGGACAGAAAGCCATGGCCTAATATGTACACAGAGGGAGTACGGGCCCCCCAAAAGCAAGAGAATCCCAGAGCTGCTTGGGATTCAGGTACAGCAGAAGATGGGAGAAGAATACTCAGCTGAAAGCAAGGGGAGTGGAAGTCAGGGTGTGATTAAAGCCACTTTGGGAAACAGTCGGTCCTCCTACCCCATGTGCCCTTGCTTAGACCATCACTTAGAGGCTGTGCTCCAGTAAAAGAAGAGGTAATCCAAGAAAGAAGACATGGAATCGGGGAAACAGTAAACTCGACCCAGGAGAAAAATGAAGCAATGCCTCAGGATGAAAAGTGGTCCAGATTAAGACAGGAGGATATAAGACTCCAAGAGGGAAGTCTCTAGGCAAAAATGAGGCTGAAAAGAATAGATATGTTGGAATAGTTGGGGAAAAAACAAATGTAATGTACATAGCAAATTAGATATGCTGAAAATTGAGGCAAGTAGAAACTCGAGGACAAAGAGACACATAAGAAAGGACGCAAAATTTGAATTTGACTTGGCTCTGCAAGCATAATAATTAAACATTGATAACTGCCTCACTAAAAGTCATGATAAAGCTTTATTGAGAGAGTGAAAACTGGAAGTGGAAGAGTAGGCAGAAGTGAGGGTCTAAAACTGGCCAATAACGAAATAGTAATATAAGCAAGTTATTTGGAAATATGAAAGTAACTGCCAGAACAAACAGGTAATAACATTAAAATTGTCAAAATTATTTGTCTTTGAAGAGCAGAATTTAAGTGCAGTTGGTTGGAGACTGTTATACTCTTTTATTGTAAAGATGGGACTAAGAAAATAGACTTGAAGGACTGTGTGTGTTTGTGTGTATGTATGTGTGTGTGCACAGTAGCTTTCACTATGCCTAGCACATAGTAGGTGCTCGACAGATGTGCTTCCTGCCCCATGAAATGGCCGCTGCCACCATAGCAGGGTCAGAAGCAGGTTCTACATAGAGGAAAAACATACTCAGTTGTGTCACAGGCCTCATGAAACTGGGGCGGAAAGAGACTAGGGGAAGCAGACGGGGAGCCATGGGAAAAGTGTCAACTCAGTATACTCACATGGACTCCAGTCAGTGTTCCACCCCACAAAAGAATTCCTGTTCTGGTCTTTTAGCCAGATAAACAAGGGCTCAAAGTAGTTGAGCAATGGTCTTACATCCATATTCTTTGTTCCTACAACACGTTCCAATGCCAAGGTCCAGGGTTCTGATTTTCCAAGGCTCAGCATATGGCTACATGAAAAAAGAGGGAGTTCAGGGCCTTTTGAGGGATTCCAGATGTACATATATTTACATCTATGATCTGTGATTTCTTCTCTTTGACTTGGCTAAATTAGCTCCTGGCAGATAAGAAAATAAGGCATATTAATGGATGTATTCATCCCTCAATCCCTTTTTCCTTTCAATTAGTACAAATGGAACTCTGTAGTTATGACATGGATAAAGGAGGTGGCCCATCCAACCACTGCATGGTCCAGGTTCCTGTCTGACCACAAATTCAACATTTACTTTGTGGATGAAGACCATTTGAGACCCCCCAAATGCCTTTTTGGAACAAAGAAATCAAATTCAAACTTAGGCATGGAAATGAGTAATATCGGATAGTAGGAGAGAGAGGTTCAACATTGTGAGCTATTTCTTACAGTAGCTTCTGCCCAGCTTCGGTGGAATTTGAGATGTCACATTTGTACAGGGGGCCTTCATGGTTAGCTGCTTGACAAAGGGCTTCTTGAAACTGGAATTGATAAATGGTCCTTGTGTAATATCTGTACACGAGACAAGGAAACATAAAAGCAGTCCCACATTTAGTTACTGTATTAGAGTCGCAGATTGGGGCATATATTTAAATTCTGGGGCCCAAGTAAGCAAAGAGATACCAGTCAAACCTTTTTCTCCAGAAAGACCCAAACGTGAACTCTATAGACTCATTGTAATGTGCTTGTATTTTATGTGTCAACTGATAAATAAGGCAGTTTTAGTGTTACATGTTAGCTCACATTTGTATTATATTTTACAGATTTATACTCCTTTCATATAAATGATGCCAATCAATTCTTATGGCAGGTCAGTAACATTATTTCCATTTTACAGATAAACTGAAGCCCAGCAAATTCAAGATCTGGGGCTAATATGTGAAGAACATGTTTTTGTACTTCAAGTTAAAAATGCTGTTTCTATTGCAATACACGATGAACTCTGCCAGTAACGAGAATACAAACAAAAATACTTTTGATTTCTCCCAGTGATGTTATTGATTTCTTGATGATGGGGAAAAGATCTCATGCAAGTTTTACTTAACCCAATAAATTGTGTTGGGTTAAATTGGATTGAAATCAGTCATCTGTGCAGATGGTCCCTAATTTAAGATGATGGTTTGACTTATGATTTTTTGACTTTATGATGGTGTTTTCAGTTGTATACATTAATGGTGAGTCCCTATACAGCCATTCTGTTTTTCACTCTCAGTACAGTTGATTCAATAAATTATATGAGATATTCAACAGTTATAAAGTAGGCTTTTGTGCTAGATGATTTTTCCCAACTGTAGGCTAACGTAAGTGTTCCAAGTACATTTAAGGAAGGCTAGGCTAAGCTATGATGTTTGGTAGGTTAGGTGTATTAAATGCATTTTTAAATGACATTTTCAATTTATGATGGGTTTGTCAGGACATAATTCCATTGTAAGTTGAGGAGCATTGCACTGAGCTTGGGGATGGGGGCTGGAGATAGAAAAATTATAATTATCACTTCGTTGATCCCTATTTCTTTATCATTAGCACAGCTGTTCACAAACCCTAGAAGTTAAACAGAGAGAAGAAAACTGTCATTTACCGGATGAATGAGTAATCATTAGCAACATGGAACAGAGATGCAGAGTCACAGTATGTTTCATCATGGGGCACAGGTTCCACCACCCCGACTATCTCTCGCCTTTGGAAAGAAAAGGACAAGATACATTAGCTGTGGGTCACTCTTCATGAGAAGGTAGAGTTGGGCTCAACTAGTACAGTTTCATCAGTCAATGGTATTTATATTGGAACTGGCTGTCAGGTGAGATAGAAACAGTGTGAAAAATCAGAGAGTAAAGCTCATTATGTGATTATCTCTTCGTTTTTTAATTTAGCCAGGACATACCATTGGAAAATAGCTATGTCTTCAAAATGCTAATTTAATAAAATTCATAAAGTGCATCACACGGCCAGTGAAAGTCCTAGTAATTCCTCTCCGGCACTACACTTTACGTTCTCCTGGTAGATGGAATTTTGTAAAAATGAAGTCTTCCTCATCATTCAAGTTTAGCTAAAATGTTCTCTCTTCTGTGAAGCCTGCTGCTAATTCCTCACCCCACACCTCTCGGTTCAGTTACCCCTCCAGCTCCCATAGCCTTCTCTAGCTGTGCCTCCTTTGCTATTTCTCTCCCCGTTTTGTAGTTATTCATATACAGCTCCTTCTCACCCTGGAGACTTGAGCTCCTAGACAGTGGGACTGTGCCTCAGTCATCTCGCTAGTTCCAGTGCCAAACATGGTGCCTAACAATAACGAAAGACTTCATTCATATTTGTTGAATGAGTAAAGGAACGATTAATGAATTAATGAATCACTTTATGGATTTAGTTCCATGTACCTTTAAAATAAACTAAGATAAAAAAAATTAATCCAGTCAGAAAAAAAGGTAGGGAAACCATGTACATGGCATTGTTTAAGTGGAATATATTTGTCCTTGATGATTGTGGGATCATTGGAGAAACAGCTTTGGTAATACTCAAATGCTAGAAACAGTTATTACAAGAGATGCCTCCTTCCTCCCAAGTAAGACTTACATTAACAAAGAGAAACCTGGCAGAAAAATGGTGCTCATTTAAATTTACGAATTTGGAAAATTGTGAGTCAGGCAGGGAGGTATAAGCCACCAAAACTCCCAAATGCCCCCGGGAGCAGGAATTTCTTGGAGCTTTTCCCTGACATCTTCTCAACCAAGTTGAGGGACTGGGTAGGTTTGGGCATGAGATCATGAAGCAAAAGGAACTTTCGGAGAAGTGTGCGCTGTGATACCAGAGTACTATTTGCATTTCCAAGAGCAACAAAAAACG